TTTTGAAGTAGAAAGGCTTAAATAGTATTTTTTTGTTAAATGCACTCCAATAATCTTTGTTTTATTTACAACAAATCATTTTTTACGGTGTCATTTTTGTCATGACGCCCCATAGTGGGCCCTAGCCCTCTGTTTGAGAACTACTAGTTTAATGGTTCTCAGGTCAAAGCTTGGTAATATTGACCTAGAGGGGCTCAGTGATCCATATTCAGACCTGCTATTAATATTTAATCAGGAATATGTTAACATGTTACATTGTACTGCTGATCCGTCAGGACTTGCTACATCGAGTCATCGTGGCTAAATCCAGTATTTCAGGTATTTTTTAATACCTTTTAATAACAGTTTTAGAACTGAAAATCTTGCTAATATGAATTGTTTTCTTTTATTTTTTTGAGGGTGTTTATTCCGGTTAGAAGATGGTGCCCCGGTCTAAATCGTCAACAGGCTATGATCATCCAAAAACAGCCTTGACCCTGACAGAAACAGATGTGGAAGAGTGTGAATGTGTGCAGGGCTCCTGGCTTTTCTTAAAGGCTGCTAAAGAGCTAATGGCCTAAGATACATGTAAGTTATATTAGGGGACTGACTGCAATAGTTCAATCTATTATGAGTCTTCATTTAACCATAATAAAAATAAGTAAAAATGATGTACTTTTAATTGGATTCTGGGTTGGTATTTGAGTAATAGCAACATAATTGCATATTTATACAGTAAAATCACTTATAAGTGGTTTGTCCAAGATCTTTATATAGCTTGTATTATCTCTTGTGGCTTATCTTAGTTTCCTTAAGACAGACCGAACTGCTAGTATTATTTAACATGCCTGCTCTCGATGACCCATGACCTCTCTAAGGGTTTGAACAAAGAGATAAGATTTTTTGTGTGGATAATAGAAAATGTTTTTTTTACTTATAATTATAAAGTAAGCACATTATACTTAGTACACCAGTGCTTTTTTATTTTTAATTGATACATATTTGCACATTTACACTTTTTGTTCTAACCCATCTTCTGTTTCTTATGTAGGACATTCAGTATGCAAGCAATGAAGGTCCAAGCCTGTTTCTATTGATACAGCATGGCACAATGGATCCGCCC